TTTGTTTTATTAAAAAAAGGAAATGATACTGAAATCAACTGCAAGATGCAAACAATAAATAAAATGAAAATACAGGATCTGGAAAAAAAATGGTTGGAACAAAAACCACCTTTCCTTTCCATTGCTCCGCTCCCATGAATTCCAACTGCTGAGATTAATTACATGGGCAAATGGCAGCATCGGTTAAAAAATGGTTCAACCAATACCTACCACATACACTAGTCATTCTGTCTTTCAGAGGAGGAGCTACTGTCATTTTAAATAAAGCTTTTTGTTGTATTGCAACTTATTTTGGCTGTCATTGTATTTATTACATCATTTCAGAGCAGGTACAGACCTTAGGAAGTCCTCTATATAGGCATTTTTCCTCCATTTCCCCCAGCTGATAAAAGCAGAGAGACTTTGTTTCCTGTGTACAATTACACCTATCACTTCCATTCACAGGAGCAAGGAAAAGTCTATTTTCAACAAAAGGGGGGTTTAAAAGCCATCAAAATCCTCAAGTGGAAGTTCCTGAGTAATTCCATGATGGTTCTTAATTGTCAAGGCTGATAACTACATATTTAGGAACTCCTGCATTAAGAAGCTTGGCAGGGCCAGATGATGCTCCTCCATAGCACAAACAGCCAGGGATTTTTATAGGGCAGTGGTTTCAGTATGCCTCAGAAATCCTAGACAGCAGCATACCCACGCTCACTGTATTTTCTTGTTACAAGTCCTTGCTTACAAATGCAAATGACATTTCTAGTCTACTCAAGTTCTTACACCACTATCAGCACTGCAGTAACTGAGGCTGTTCCCATACCACAACAATTGGTTGGTCATTTGTTTCTTCAGGCATGGAAGCACAAAGGTATAAATCCTCTATTCTAATTCGTTTTCTGTTCTTACCAATCTTGGGTTTAATATCAAGAACTTTTCATTGACACCTTCAAGCACAATGTATACCCCCTACAAACTTAAAACATATCTGGTCACAAAGCCCATGCAAGTTCTAAGTGCCTCTAAATATATTTGGTTATAGCTGTATGAAATTATTACAGACGAGCTACACTCCAGCTTGTCTCTCCCCTCCAAAATCACAAATAGCTGCCAACAAAGTTCACAATACTGTATAACAACATGCTCCAAAAAAAAAGCATTCAATGTGAATGTGACATGCAAATATTAAGACAGGACACCAGACTTCTTTTCTTTCCCCTTCCCAATGGGTGTTTTATTTTATAGCATTTGCATTAGGTAATCAACTGAAACACTTAACAGAAAGCTGGCAGCACAGTGAGGAAAAATGGAGATTATTTCTCAAACAGCTGTGACAAAATTGTTTCAAGTTGTATTGCACAAATGAATCAATTTACGGAGGGTGAGTGGGAGCAAGCATCTTCAACATGGATTGTGAGGAAAAAAGGCACTATTTAGCTCTGTGTGTGTTTAAAAATAAAAAGGTCATGAAGCACAATCCATGTTTTTCAAAATTACATTCAGTACTGCTTTAGAAATGCTCACAAACCTGTCTCTTTTGCAGAAGCTACGGAAAGCTGCTGATGTAAGTATCAGACAGTACAAGAGTACGAACATTTATAATTATGCTCCAGAAAAGTCTCAGGAAGAGATGCTCTTTCTATAAATACTGCTGCAAAGGTTACACAGTTGCATAGGCTTACAGTAGAGGAAGCATCCATCCAACTAAGCAGCCTTAAACTTTAAGTTTAATCTCTAGTAGTCATAAAATATGCTCTAATTTTGAAGAGCTGGATTGGCAGTGCACTTGAATCAGGCTTTTCCATTGACTGTTTAAGCAGCAAGGTCAGACAGTATCATCCACACACCTTTTTGTCACATACACCTTTAAGTATACAGATACACATTAAGCCAGGTAAGCTTAATGGAAAATTTTAACAGAAGTTTAAAAGAAAATAACTGAATTTTTCCCAATATAAGATAGAATTACTCTGAGATCATCAATAAGCAAAACTTTATTCCAGTAATGTAAAAATAGTTAGGTATCTTCAGAAAAACTAAATACCCAGAAAAGGCATTTCAAATGATGAGGATGGGCTGGTTCTCCATCTCCTACATTGTATAGCTAGAAATTTTAATGTGTGTTTGAAAATGAAGCCATGATCAATATACCAATAAAAGAGACTGCTAGAAAATCCACCCAGAACAAGCAGGAATGTGCACAGAGGACATTCAGCATCCTAGCTTTGGGTCTGCCATATAGATGCACTAACAAAATAAAAGTGAAATTCTTGTTGTGTGCCTGCAGAATTATTAAGGGAAGGAGCTAAGAGCACTGTTGCTCTCTTGCCAGTACTGCCCAGAGTATCACAAGTGCCCCAGGCAAGCTGTGGGCACAGGCTGTGCAGTCACCTGCACAGCAGGACCTTGCACCTTGGGCTGACATCAAGAGTTTCAACAGGGCTCAAGTTTTGCACAAAATCTGGGTGGTACTTTTGTACAGAAAGTACAGAACAGTGTCACAAAATCTACTCTCAACTACATGTAGATATATGAGCATCTTAGCACCTTTCAAATGAACTTAGCCCTGCAAAAAGCCAATCTCACTCCTCTCAAGAGAGTACAGTGACTCCAGTTAAAAGATCTGTGTTCAGGAGGCTGCATCATAGTTTACTGATCATACAGCCTGCAAAAACAAAGATTCACATATTGCTGCTTTCCTCTATGAGTCATCAAGGGAAAATACATGAGATAAATCATATTTATATACCGTAAAATATTTTTAATGGCAACAACTTGGATTGTTTCTGTTTCCAAGCAGAAGACAAGTAGAACAGATTATTAAAAATCCATAAAGCTCCTTTTCCTAAACTGTCTTTTAGGAAATCCAATTTGATAGTTCTAAATTCAGATTACTCTAAGTTCACAGTTGTTCTTAATGGTTACACTAGATATAAAACTAGACAGTCTTAGTTCCTTCTGTGTTCTAGAGATGATCACATTTTCTGAGTACATCTGAAATGAGTACCGCTCCAATTGTTGTTAGCATTTCTAAAAAATATTCCTAAAACTCTTGTTTGTCTCAACTTTCACATTTCACAGCAAAGAACAGGAAATTATATCTGATTAAATAAAATGTTTTATCTTACATGAACTATGAAAAATATATTGCTCTTTTAAAAGTAAAAAAAATTGCATTTTCTATTGGTTTTGTTATTGGAGACTCATCATTAAGAAATTCTAAATCCTGGAAGGAAAAAATAAGAAACATAACTTTCAAAACTGCTTACAGAATTGAAGAAGTTTCTGTAGACCCTACTGAAATCAGTAGAAGTTTTGTCTATTGTTTTCTTGTCAATAGAGAAGCATTTGTCTACATACCTACTTAGATGAATATTTTGCATTTTCATTTAGCAAGCTCTTCAGCTCTCTTAGAGGTGCTCTGCTAAAAATTCTGAAGGAGATTCAAGAAGATAAATTAATCTGAATTAGAACAACATAGTAAAAAAATCTAACATAAAACTATCACTGAGCGGAAGTCTTTCCTAGGACTATAAATATTTATTTTACTTTGTTAAAAAGTGTCTGCTTTTCAATGAAAACTTTTAGATCTCCATTAACTACTTTCTGAGTATGACTCCTCAGTTCCTTTCATTAGCTAGGAAACATGTCTTCATGTGTGACCTAACACATCCTATATCCAAACATGTTGGCATTATTATTGATGTCAACAGACAAGAACAAGAACAGGAAGTCTTATGCATGGTTCATGCTATATAAATGGTAACTTATGAGAAGGAACTTCCCTGATTATTTGGGAAGAACAAAGAGAGATCTATTTTTAAAATCAGAAGGGAAAAATCTAAGAAAACAAAGAAACTTCAAGATGTACTTGATAGTCTCTCGTTATCCTCTCTGTAATTGGGCTGTTGCTTTTGGCTGCAGACATCCAGTTCACAGATCATTTTCCATTTCCTTTGTTTTCATTACAAGAACAAGCTGGTTAAAGAAACTCCACTTGGTAATTTTAAACTAAACCTTCAGCATCATACCTTAAGAATTTAAACCTTTCCCACCATTCCTTTGTCTCCTCAGCCTTTCCAATCAAATGCTGTGAAAAGCACTTTTAAGAAAAGGCAGGTGGAAGTTGTGTAAATACTCGTATCTTTAAGAAAATTCAATAGGAAAAATTCTTGCAGTGCTCCACGGCCATTTGCTATAATGCAGTGGCCCCAAACATCAGTTCTCAAATTTCAATTTACTTCATTTGCCAGGTGTTTCACATTGTTAATAATTGCAACTCACAAATTTACAACAGTCACGTAAGGCAGTTACATAAATACAATTATGTCAATCAAGTTCACTGCACCTTTCCCAACCAGACTGCATATGACAATTTTCTTCTTGTTCTCTTACCCTAAAAGGATGAAGACTACTTTTCTGTAAAGAGAATCCCTGGAAAACATTCTGGTATTGAAGTCAGAGAGGTCACTGAAGTGCTTTCAGCAATGTCCAACAGTTAACTCAACCAGGAAGTAGATGTGATGTTTTTCACGTCACACATAACAGAACCGGTGCAAAAAACCCCACTTTAAACTAATTACTTTAAACCTTTTGGTCCAAATACATAAAATAAGCAGTATTTACAGCATTTTACTCCTTTTGTAAATGCAATGCTTTAAAACACGTTATAAAGCACCTCAGTAAAAATATTCTACAGATAAAAGTATTGAAGTAGTAGGAAAACCCTAGCCATACCACAGCTCACTAGTAGAGTCATAATGTGGATTCACCAATACCTCAGTTTACAATTATTACAAAGAATCCATGGAGAAACTTACTGAATTTACAATTTTTATACCACTGTGTAAGGATCAACTAGAACTGCAGACAATACCAAATTTCTTTGTAGTTTTCCCAACCTCAGTCAGTGGTAGTGGTGATCAAAAAAAAAACCCCAAAAATAAAAACCCCACTGCTCTGATTAAAGAATTCAAACTTTTTACAATATTAATGTGAAAATGACATTTTAACACTAATGAGTAGTTATAATTTTTTAATAAAACCACATATATAAATATGGGCAATTCCAGCAGCAGCAGCATTTCTCAGCAGAACATGATTAACCATCCCAATTAATATCATGTGACATGATTCACTAAAACAAAGCACAGATGTCAACCAGTTATTAGGACTACTCATACAACCAAAATTTCCATGTTGAAAGCTGGGGAAAAATTATTTCCTCTTCACAGAAGTACAAATGAAAATAAATTGCTCTGAAAATTAAAAAGAGCATCAACAGAAGTGGTTTTTTGATTGTTTATATTTTTAAATAGAACTGCCGTGTATTAATTGCTCCAAATTACAGTGTAGATTTCTTCAGGTTAAGGATATTGACTCCCACGGAAAATATTATTTAGATAAAAGAAATGAAGCCTTTGCTTCTGGATAACCAACACAGCTATATCCAAAGCCCTGGAGGTGATCCACAACCCACTTTTCTCGTATAAAGAAATGTCTTGGAGGTCTACAAGCAATCTAGTTTCCATGGTTGAGGACTAAGATGATGATGTGGCCAAAGATTTAGGTCCATAAATCTAACAGTATAGCATTCTTAGTTTGATTTAGGGTAAATCTTTTCATAGAAAAAGTTTTGAGCCAGAATATACAATTCTCCATCTTTTTCCCGAACTGCATGTGCTCTGACAAACTGAAATTGCTCCAGTGCAAATTCATAGAACTCATTCTCCATTTTCCAGATTTCAGACTGCTGTAGCTTGGCAATAGTTTCTTTTGTGGGAAGTTTTTTCTCAGTTGTTTTCCTAAGATGCGACTTCTTTCCTAAATGCAAAATGAAAGCAATAACTTCACTTTCAAGTTCACATGCTCAAAAAATGTTTACAGTCCTTTGTTATTTACAGTTTTTATGCTCTCAGTGTGTTGATAAACTGCATTAGAATAACCAGGCTTTAATCCAAAATTTATTAACACAACATGCAGAGTTGGAAAACTGCAGCCTCTCTCACTAAATGTTTATGAATTTTGCATCCATTCTTTTAATTCTTCCTGTTTGCTCTAATAAACCCAGGGAATGAACATTCATTTAAGGAATAAGATTACTCCATATAATCTACCTGGCGCAAAACTGGTCTTTCAAAATGAATTATTTAGATGTTGATCTGCTATCAAATGTTAAGAATTTTAGAAACTGCAGAGACTTCTTTCATAAAATCATAGAAGCATTTATGTTGGAAAGGACATTTAAGGTCATCGAGTCCAAACACAAACCTAACACTGCCAAGTCCCAGTCAGCCATATCCCCGAGTGCCACACCTAAGTGTCTTTTAAATACCTCCACCACTTCTACACATCTTTTAAATACCTCCAGGGAAGCTTATATTCAACTCAGACTACCAAAAACCTCCCTGTTCTGGTCTAGCTCTCTGTAGCTCTCCATAAAAGAGAAAAAAAAATCTTGTTTTTGCATAATTTCAATTGTCTATTTCTAATCATCTACTAATAGCATTTAGACCATTAGTCTCCCATCTAAATAGGATACTATAGTCTTATCATAAATATGCATAAGCCACATCCCTGTTGCAGAATTTCTGGGACAAAGGTGACCAAAATGATGACCAGATTTTCCCTAAGGAGTGCTGTTGCTTTGTAATTAACTTGTTAATACTACATATCGAGGCTCTGCTATTTGCAGTTAGAAGCCCTGCTAAGATAGATCTTTTCTTCATAAATTGCATGGCCAGCTCCTAGAAACTGAGCTACTTCTTGTAGCTAGGAGCCCAGGAAGATAAACATCTACTTGGGACTCTGCATCCCTCAGGCTTTATTGCTCAGCCAACCAGGCTGCATTGAGCACAGTTAATTCCAGCAGGGCTCCTGAGGAAATGGAAATCTGCCACATCAGCCACTTTAAAAAACTGAAGCCACTTAAAACCTTAAAAAAATATTCTGTTACAAACATATCACAATGTTACATGCATTATACCTACACACCTACCTTTATCCCAGCCTTAAATATTTATAATTTGTGTAAGGCAGAAGGATACTTGGACTAGCATCACCCCCAAGAGAGAGAAAGAGAAAGAGAAAAAGAGAGAGAGAGAGAACTGAGAATCTTCAAAAATGAGTTTGTTTCTTCTATAGGAGCATCATTCAGCTGAGAGGCAAACCTGGCAGAGACTCAAAACTATGCAACTAGATCTAAAGAATTCACACAAAAAAGGCAGTAAGTGGATGAAAAATCCATGGAAATCAACTATTTTAATACCTGTCCGGTACAGTTCTGTGGCACCCCTGAAGAACCGGGGCAAAGCTGCCTCCAATAACATGATAAAGTCTTCAAGCTCTTCAGTAACTCCCACTAGGAAGTATTCATTAATCAGATTGTATTTGGCTTGTTCCAAAGCCCATCTGCTTCCCACATTCCTAAAATGACAGAGAACAATTATATCAAGTTCTGATGTCAGCCAACAATCCTTAGTCCCTAGATGGAGATTACTTCACAACAGGACATTTGTATAGGAAAGGCAAGACTTATTCCAAGTTATAACCATTCCTAACTTCATTTCCCTTTCCAGTTCCTCTCATTTGTGTTCTTACCTAAAAATGTGACTCCTCTACTTATGAAGTAGTCTAAACAAAAACACCCAGTGTGTATGTATATGATTAATGCCTCTATTCAAGCAATTTTTCAAGGATTTACATTGTCTCAATATTAATACTCTGTCTCTACTTTCACATTAGATACCAGAAACCTGGCAAGAACATACCTTCCCTTTTGCACCTTCTTTCTTTCTGTGCTTCTCCACATGGCCAGAGAGTAGACAGGTCTGAACAACAGGCACTGAAACAGGAGCTCCCAAGTGGCCATTTACTTTGCTTGTGTTTGAATGAACAAAACCTTTGACGAATAACTGCCCTTGCCATCACTCAGAATCTTTCAAAAACTCTACGTGTCTGGTTTTTTTTGTTCTTCTGCTAAAGTTTTTTAAAGTCTTTGCCATTATTATAAAATATTTTGCATTGACATATGGATACTATTTGCTTTTGTTTCTGTTTCTGCTAAGTAGCATTGACTACTGGATATCTAGTAAGCATTTAAAAAGATAAATTTATCCTGATCTCAATTATTGTGTACTCCCCAAGAACTTTAGGAGGTTGAACTAAAATATCTCCATTCCCAAAGAAGGATACAACATAAGAGAAAAATTGCAAGACTCTAAATCTGCAGAAATTATTTTTCAAATTAAAAACATGTTTTCCCTCACAGCACAGCTGATACAGTATTGTAACATACTGCTAGTTTAAAGAACTGCAAAACTGTTTCAGTAAATCCATCTTCAACAGAAAACACTCAAGTATCCACTGCTTCACTCTGTTCAGTCCTTCACACTTTTATCAACTGGACTACATATTGAAATTTGTTAAAGTTTAGATTTCAGCACTAATGTACTTGACGAACAAGCTACATTTATCTCCCTACCAGCATTCTGAGCTGTGGCCACAGAAGAATGGAATTTGAAGCCAAAGTTTCTCTGGAGCACAGTCGGAACCTCCAGCTGCCACACATTCATCAAAGGTCTGGAACAAAGACAAAATTGAGCTGAGCTTTAAAATCTCATATATGTAGCTAACATCTCCAACTGGTTAGTTGCTAAATATAGTGGGGACAGAAAAACACGTATATGATGTTCTAGAAAAAAATGCCAAGCCTTGTTTTCACAGTGTTATTAGGACAATCTACTGTCTCAGCTAAATAGTACTTGGACAGTCCTTTATGGTTATAACTAATGAACAATTGATCTTACCTGATACATTGATATACCTTTGATATAACTTCAGCAAAGGCTATTTATCAAAACTAGCAAAAATAATCAATAAGTGTTTGTATAATTATTTTCCCCTATAAAAGAAGTCACTAAAGATACAGCATCACATGCTATAAGAAATTGTGTGATTCTGCAACAGCTGTATCTTTTTAACAGAGAACATTGTACATTTTGTGTTTTAGATTCAACAACCTTCTATTACTATTACCTTTGAATAATGACAAATAACTGCCATTTCAGAGGCTAATTTTGTTTTGGCAATCAGAAGAACTGAAAAGCAGTTGTTCACAGCACAAAATAATATTCCATACAATATTGCTCTCTGTGTGGATACACTGGTGTAGTAACAGAGTTCCTGCAGTAACACAGTAACAATAAGAACTCCATTAGCACAGCAGGGAATTTGTAAATGCCTTACTGTGTCACCATAAAGGAAGTGTATATGCTATTTCTAATCAAGATATAAGGCATGTATCTAAGATATATTAAAAAAAATAGATCCCACAACTTTTTAGATTGCTTCTTCAGTATACTTACAAGTTTCTGTTCAAAGCAACTAAGTAAAAACACATCTGTGTAATTATTTGGGGTTAAGAACAAAGACAACATAATTTGCTTTTATTTTGAGGTGAAGTTTATGAGATAATCTGAAAAAATTATTGATACTATGCCAAAGCAAGGGGTAAACTGTGGTGCCTTGGTTCACATTGAACTCTGAGTTTAGAATAGCTTGTACATGTCACACATCATAGATAAACATGCAGCTTAAGGAGGAAAACAAGACATTGGTATGCTTTCCTTAGCATAGTTCTCTAGGGAAATTCTGCACTGATCTATTGTTAAATGCACCTCCTAAATTATGAATGTTTATACTAAAAATGAACTGGCATCTGTACAAAGGAAGATTTCTTTGCTTATACCTGCAGGTTATTTTACAGTTAATAAGCAAGAGGAAGCATGCTGTTTTCTAAGTAAGCTGAAACAGGACAGACTTCCTTCCACACTTCCTCTTATGCACCCACCTTGGCTGCTCCATCCAGAGATTTTATTATAGGACACCCTTGCCTCTACAGACCCTGCATTTCTGTATCCCTGTGCTTCCAGTCATTTGGAGCCACCCTTGGCTCCAAATGACTGGAAGCACAGGGATACAGAAAACATCCTAGTTTAGAATTCTTCTATATAAATGCCGTAGTATGGACTAGGAGGGGACAGAAGTATAAAACACATAGAGATTCCTTTCTACTAACAAAGGAACAACTGAGTTTCACTAGAGGTAATTTCTCATCTTCCCTACTTTTCAGCTGAAGAGATTTTCATTAATCTACTGTAACATACTAAAATAAAGACACTTCAATTGGCTCAATCCATTTTTGAGCTTACTGAATTTTGTAACTAATGAATGCAAAACTTACATCATCTATACATGGACAATTCCCCAGGGACACTTTGGAAAAATAGTACTACCTGATTTACATGAAAGAAGCCAGAAGCTTGATACAGTAAATCAATTTCACTTGAAACGAACTTGAAATGCTTACAGAACATGTCAAATCTGTACAACAACAATTAAGTCTCTCAGACCTAAAGGAAGTGGTATTGTAGTGACAGAATGTAAAAAAGCACCTTCAATAGAAAAACATCAAATTAATAATGCAATGCATTGCAAGCATTCTAAACAGAAATGCATATGACCTTTTTCCCAGCAAATCAAAGCTTACAGTGCAGTCTAACAAGCAGCAACACTAACGATTTTTGGCATGTTTCCCAGTGACTACCTAACCATGTTGTTTGGATTATAATTCAAAATTAAAATAAACACTGTTAAATGTTTAAATTTCTTTTTTTAGTAAGTTTTATGTCCTAGAAACAGCTCAGACTTAGCAGCATGCTCAGCTTTCCAAGTCACTGATCTCCAGCAGGAAAGAGAAAGACAGGCTACAAAAGATGAGGTCCTATCTCTCTTTTTTAAAACACCTTTATGATCTCATATCACATCACCTGTTCATCTGTTTAGCCACTTCCATAAAGAATTTTCAAGATCAATTTCAATATATTCTTGAAGCTTTCCTCTTCCTATGCTGCTGTGCTTCAGCATACCTGGACAAACTGAAATGCAGTAACTGAAGATGGCGCTAAAGCCTAAATAACGGAGGACCAGTTAGTTTCCAACTGGAAAGAAAGAGGAATGGTTTGCCCCGAATATTTAAAAAGCACTATTTGGATGGGGACAGCACACAAAATGATTACTCATGATTATTAGTTGTTATGGTGTTTATAGACTGAGCTGTATATTTTGTGTGACTTTTGCTTGTTTTTTCAATGTCTCTTGGTTCCCACACAGCACTACACTAAACTGTCAACATTACAGAAAAATAGCATCAGTTTAAGAAAATATCATCACTGAAACCGTATAAAGTGTTTGACTCTCTAAAATAAAAAAATTCATTACATTTTGTAGGGTTCCACACTGTTCAAGCTACAGTTTTGTAAACCATACTCATATAATTTTATGCCCTGCTTTTCTTCCCAATATAAGAAAAATCCAAATCAACATGCCTGGAAGGTCACACTGCAAACCATGACAGTGGATGTATAGATTCTTTCTGGAACAAATCCATTATGGAGCCTGAATGAGGCTGCCATCCTGAAACTGTATTAGTAGTCAATGTTTGAATGTGCTAACCTGAACTTGTCTACAGCCACCTAAGACACGAGGAGGAAGTACAGAAATTTATGGGTCATACTACACAGTTTCCAAAAAGACATTGCAATGTTTACATTTAAAAAAAACAGAATAAACTGGGTTGCTAATTATATGAAAATAATCAACAAGGCCAAAGCATCAGCAGTTCTACATCTTTTGCTGAAAAAATGTCATCAGTCTTCAACCAGAAAAGATGTAACCTCTTACATAGGAGGATAAGCCTAATCTGATAATTATAATTCTGGATACCTAGTAACAGCTTTTAAAAAAAATTACTTAAGTTTTTAACAAATTGCAACATACAGTGAATTTATAAGGGTACAGACAACCTACTAATGTCATGCTCTGCTCCAGTATGGACAGGAAATGGAGAACATAACTTACAAAGTCATCACTATCACCAAAGGCTGATAAAATAAGGACTTGGCTTTTATCAGGGCATTTTAAAAATGGTTTTCACATTGATTTTAGAAAGTTCAGCACATATTATTAGGTGTACTTTACCTTTTTATCCCCCTGCTTTCGCCTCCGGAGCCCTGGTCTGTAATCATCTCCAAAGCGCAGAAAGTAATAATAAGAAACTAGGCGTTCTATAGGGTCTCTTATGACATTTATGTAAATTGGTTTCTTTTTAACACCAAATCTAAAGTAAAAGAGGAAAAAACATCTTTCAAAGGACAAATCAAAGCTTCTCATCTAATACGTAAAAGCCTGTCTTTGTTGCTACAACTGAAATCCATACACACAATACACGATACTGAGAGGAAGCTTCATGATCACCTCTTTTCATCCTCATATCCAGTGCATTACATGGATGTGAAAGTAAGCTCAATTTCAGTCTGCCTAAGATTATGATTTTATGGGTTTATTATTAAAGAAACAAACAAAACAGACATGTTGTCACACAAATGGATACTAAAAATGTTTACACAACCATCCTGACTCTAGAAATGCCTTAACTAGTTTAGCAGCCACATACATGTTTATAGTAAGTACAAGGAAGTTTGATATTGAGTTCCTGCCCTTGTGAACTGGGCTTTGCAATGCTGTGAGTGGTTTTCCTGGCAGGTCTCCAGTAGTCAGAGACATTAACAGCAGGAAGACAGAGCTCAGAGCCCATCCATTGCCTGGGTTGATGCATACAGCTATGCTTATTAAATATAAGTCTAAGATAGTATCTGTAATCATATTAACTTTTCTATATAAAGATATTAATTTTTTCCACAGACATTTACCCTAAGCAAATTTTGATGCACTCCAGTACAAACAGAAGACTGACGACACAGGAGAAAAATTTGAACCACCAAACTGTTTTGTGCAAATGCTACCTTCCAGTGATCTATGTTCAAGTCAGCTTTTACAATACATTTCTCAGTTTTATTTTCTTTTCCATTTGAGACATGCTGCGGCAATTAATTATGGTATCCAAATACTAAAGAGTTTATATCACAACGGAAATTACAAGTGTGTCAAGTGCCCTGAAGTAAAGCTAGAAGCTGGAAAAAAAAGTTCTCTTCTGTTCCTATGCAAACTGGGAAAGCATTCTCTATCAAAAGAGGGCCATTCATGCCTCCTAGCTTGGCTAAAACAGAGCACTCATAGTTTTAAGATGCAGTACCGTGATTTTTAAAGGGGTACATTTTACTACCAGATACTGTGCATATGAGGAATGTTAAGCTGAAAAGCTGAAGAACAGAAATGTAGCAAAAGTAGCAGAAAGGAGGAAGTTAGGAAAAAAAAAATTAAGAGGCATTGCTTTTGCCAAAAACAAGCACTACAGACAGAGAAATTGTTAAAGACTACAGAAAGAGCAATTGATTTCTCCAGTGCTGCCAGTAGAGTACCAATGATTCAGACTGGAGCACTCTAAGGCAGAATTGCTGACATCTGTCTGCATGCCAGCTCTGACTTCCCAGGGTCTGCAGAGTAGAGAGGGTGTGAATATTTCAATCATTCTGATGCAAAGTCCAGGCTTTGAACTTCACCCTCTTTAAGCTCCGCTGCAGTGCATGAGACATGCATGTCCCTTTCCACAGACTGCTGCAAATGCTGGGGAAGCTGTAACAAACCATTTCCACACAGCAGCAGACTCAGCCAATGAACAGCACACTTCTGTGGGTTAAATGCAGATGTCCAAGTCCTTAGAAATGCTTGTGCTGGATTGTACAATCCCCTGCATTTGCACACAAGCTTGAAGAACTAGCCTCAGTTACAGTAACATAAACCTACCAGTAACATAAGTTATTACTGTAACTTTATTAATAATGACAATGAATTGGCAGTTGCATTGTGAAAGAACTTTTTTTCCCAACTATTTACCAGAGAAAATACAGAATAAGCGGATAAGAAATTTTACAGACAAAAAGAAAAGGGAAAAAATTTAAACTGTTATTAGCAAAATTTCTACATGGATGGATTACAATAACCTGTCCTCAATACTGTCAGTTATCAGTAAAATCCAGTATTTTAATTTTCAGCATATTTTAAGAGGTACTTCTGATATTTGACAGTGGACCTAAGTTGATGTCCACGTATAAGGAAGCACTGACTTCTGAAATATTTTACATGCCTTAACTACAAGAATGTTCATTACAAGAACATACCTCACAGCCTTAAAGGTGTGGGCCTTGCCAAGCACAACCAGCGTATTCAAGATATTATTTTAATAATGAAAACCCAAAGTATGAGAAAGCAAGCTGTTGTGGGGAAAAAAAAAATCACTCAGGTGAAAGGATAACAAACAACAAAGACAAGGATAACACAGTCCCGGAGGGAAGATGCAGATGAAAGAAATCTGTGAAATTGCTTAGATGCTTTCTAGATGTAAAATATTTTAGTTTTAAGAGTTCCAGTATCTGAAAATGTTTTCAGCTTTATGAACTAATGTATAAAATAACATTCAGCTTTGCTGCACCAGTAAGCTGTTACTCAGTTCAAGTGTTTATTAATGTTGAAGCATTTTAATTTTTAAAAGGCAGGAAGGAAACTAATGAATTTTTACATTTTTTATTTGATCTACTGATTTGTAACTTTTTTTGCCTCTTACTTTTTGTAAACTTGGTGCCACTGGTCATTTTCAGCTACTACTGTGGCTTTTAGCATTTTCTGAAAATGTACTATATCGGGAATCTGCACAGGTCTCACTTCCCCCATCTCATCCTTTGTAATAAAAACTCCAAATTAAAAATCAGTGTACATGACAAAATGAGTAATTAAAAGGAATGACTAAACAAAAGGAATTATTACATACAAAAAAGAATTTAAATAAATACTTTAATGCACAGAAACATAGAAACACTGAGTGACCATCAGCAAGAGATAAAAGTAGTTGTTACTATCGTTTGTGCAGTCAAATGTAATGAAATCTGAAAATTCCACATTCATTTTAAATCATTTTCCACATGCTCCAAGTGCAAGATGAAGCACTACCTAGTAAGCATCTTAAGCAAAACTGACTTGTCAGTTCAAGGGGAGGTTTGAAGACTGAGCTACTGAGGATCACAGGTTTAGATCCAGAAGCAAAAATAAGACAAGAAAAGAAACATATGAAAGTGGGAATAAAGATATGACCCTGAACCTTTCAAGTCAGTGGGACGTTTTTTAAGCTATTTAATTTAATTTTAGAAGTAGCAGCATTTAACTTCACAATAATTACTTCAATGTTTTTGCTAGCAAATCAAACTATTACAGATCAGAAAACTTGCTTCAAAAGATAACTTTTCATATTTTGATAAAGGGTAAAGGGATACTAAGGTAGAGAAGAATTACATAACTTATAAAGAGTAACACCACCTGCATCTTATGAAGCATTTTTGAGAACCGGTATGTTAAGCTTCCCCAAATGGGAAGCCAATCCCAAACCAGAAATGCCAGTGTTTCAGAGAAAAGCCATGATTTTCAGCAAAACAAGCCTGGAATTTACACAAGGAATACTAATCCCAGTATATAAACGTTTTCTTTTTTAAATGAGACTGGGCTACATTTCATCATGCAAGAAAACCAGAGCACTCGGTGCCGATCAGCCCAAATTCCGGCGCTCGGGCCGGCTCCCCCGCGGCAGCTCCGGCCGCGAGCGCGGGAGGGCGCGGGCAGCCCGGCCCAGCCCGGGCACAACGTACTTGGCAAAGTCCAGGTACGAGACGTGGCCGTGGTAGAATCCCGGCTTCATCTCCTTCCACGAAGTCACGTTCTTCACAAACCGCACCTGTGAGAGTGGGCAACAAAAAGGGTTTCTGTACGGCTCATTACATTTACCCATACATGGTATTTTCTGGCTTTTAATCTTATAATGCATTTGATTAAAAAGTCTATTTTGAGTATTATAAAAAAATAGGCTTTCCTGCAGCATATAGGTGACTGATTTTATGTCATCAGAATTTAATGATCAGAAACTAACAAAAGCAGAAGACAGCAATCAGAAGGACAGTCCAAGGAAACCTATCACAAAAACATCAGCAAAACAAACATTTATATATTTGTCAGACCATTTTATTTGTAATTGGAAAGGAATGCAGAATTCTTTCAGTAGAAATGCAAGCACCTATTTTATAGAATGGTCTGATCTATATTCAGTCCCTCAAATAAAAGTGTATCAGATTTACAGCATGTTCTTAGAACCATTTTATTGGGACATAAGAAACAAATCTGATGGTTCGTTTGCTCCTCCATCCCAAAATGCAATGCATAAGTAATCCAGAAATGTTATAAATGCATGCAATGTAAATCAGATCTATAGTTTGCTATTTTGAATAGTCATCTTAAGCCCAACATTTCAGTGCAACTTTCATGCTAAAGCATGAAGTAGCCCTTGAATGAGGGCTGATAGAGCACTTATTGGCAAACTTCACAAAAATAGCAATAGCTTTACATTTCAAAGAACAAAATAAGACACATGCCCCAAACCAGAGAGTGGGATCAAATTAAGTGGGACATGCAAATCCTGATCGAGCTTGGCTTTACTAGATGAACAGAATATTTTAACATCAAAGCATGTAACTGAAAGTTGTTCCAAAACTAGTGAATTGGATAATAAAGAGAGGATGATAAATTTGTACTGCCTGAGCTGTCTGACAAAGATATGCCATTTCTGAGGCTGTGAATTAAAAGATAGTGTTCTCTGCACATCTGCAATATCTTTTCTGTTCAACAGACAAACAGATAACCACAAAGATTCTAAGGTGAGACAAGAGAGACAAAAAAGGAAAGTTTGAGAGCTCAAGAGAACACACTAACTACCATTCTGTAAGGTCAATTTGATTTAGAGTGTCCTGAACCATAATATTTACTATTTATTATAACCTACCAGTTGAAGATTCTAAGAGGTGAGACTGGCCTCCTGCTGTTTCTTCAATTGTGCAACTCATGGTCTATGATTTAAGAGGTTGGTAACCTTATTTATTTAAACACTGGCTCTTGGACTCTCAGATAACAGAAATTTATACTACTTTTTAATAATATTAATTTTTTTAGTGTACAAGTTTCACAGTCTGTGGCATTACAAAATTTAAAGTATGTATTGCACATTAAAATGATGGCAAATCTAGCTGAAAAGCACTGCACAATGTTACACAATGGTGTTTCATAAACTGCATTGTCTTCCTGTCTGGTTTTGTCCACAGCACAAACTGATAATATGGGACTCTGAATCCAGTTGAACTACCTCTGCCTTTACAGCTACTGAAATAAACCACAATTCCATTCACTGTATCTTTCCAAGAGTAATGACAAGATATTTTCAGTTGAGAGCATCAGCAATAAATACTTCTTTACCTGGCAAAGATATTTCCTAAATATAAAATATCAATTTTCCTTCCTTCACCCACAAACCCCAAAATGTCATGGTTGGTTGATACAACTCTGCAAGTAAACCAGTTATGCAATTGAGGATGTGCAGTGCAGCCCATATATTAAAGTGTACATTTATGTTTCCATGAATGAGCTTTTGGAAATCTTGTATCATCTAGATTTCAGTTTCTAATAGACTTGTACTAAACATAAGATAATGTTAAGTACAAAATCCCAAGTTTTTTGTTTTAGATCCCCATGCCAGCCATCTGGCATCAAACTGTGGATGTTTCAGTAACAGCTACAAAAATCCTTTATTGCCTTTGTCTCACAGTATTATTGTCTGCTATGGAAATAATTTTTATGAACATAGGATGGATAGTCTAACCTCGAACACCAGCCAAGCTAAGAGAAGGCTAGGAGGGTTTTATAACCTGTGACATTTACATCTGTCTTAAGATGGACCTGCAACATGCTGAGCCCCTGAGAACTACAGTTTTTAACACCTATAACTAGCCTGCAGGCAAGAGATTTTTTTTTTCTCCCACAATTTGCAGCATTCCAAAAGCCAGAATTGTTCCAGGTCACAGACAGCCTAATGAGTCTGGATTCACACATTTTAGGTCAGAGATGAATATTGCTCACTGCTTCATACTGTTAAATATGATCAATTTTACTTTTCTTTTCAGGGCTTAGCAGATACTGTAGCTTTCAAGAGACAGAGCAAGCTTCTCCACCTGAGCCCAACTGAATAAAATTTGAGGTGACTTTAAAAGTTCAGATAGACGTGAATGGAATTCCTGTAAAGTTGTTTCAGGGTGCTTTTATATAATCAGCTACAAAGTTGCTTCACAGCCTTCAGTAAATGGGAAATCAGCTGAGGTTCACTGAATTAAAAAGCTCGATCAAAGGTACTCCAGGGGCATAAGATGTCCTGAAAGGTAAGTTAAACACATTCCGTTTCTAGGACAGCAGGAATTTAAAACAAGTCCCAGTGAGCCAAAAGAAGGAAAAACCAAACCAGCACACCTGGTCTGAGAAAAAGCCATGTGTGCAAACCAAAGTGATGCTGTAGGTTCTGATCTCTGTCCATTAACTGCAGCCATCAGTGCCCCTTCTCTACAGCCTGACTGCACACTCAGACACACTCAGTCACACTCACACAATGTACACAGCCACATGCATACACACACACACGTTTGCACATGTGTGCAAGAGCATGTGTGTGATTGTGGTGTGTGCATGTGACTGGGCTTGTGTCTCAGTGTGAGTGTCTGAGTGTGCAAGAGTGTGTGTATGTGCTAGTGTGCAAGAGTGTGTCTGAGTGTGCGTGAGCATGTCTGACCTAGCTCTGAATCAGAGGGTCTGGAATGCTGGAAACAGGCAAGCAGCACACCTTTGGCTGCATGCCATCAACAACCACAAGCAAGCTCAAGGCAAGGACAGCTGACAATCAGTTTTGTGAGATGGTGACAAGATTGAGTTCACCAGTTCAGCCACAGTACAGCCAGGATACCTGCCTTGCACTAATAGTTCTTTCTCAGAAGGAAAAGTACAATCAGTACACATGCAGCACTTGTACTCAGTAGACCATCTAACCCCAAAAGAAAAATTCTTAAATATTCACAGGCACATGACAGTACTTCTAGCAGAGTTGCTGCAAGCTTTTCACGTGTTCCACTTCTGACAGCCACTGAAACCTGCATTAGCAGAGGAAATAAGTACCACTAAAGCCACTACGACTGCAGTCCTCTGAGAGACCAACTGTTTTAGAATGCACTTCGAAGCAAGATAATATATTTTCATGCTGCTCTTTTGAGAAAAATTGAGAGAGAAACTGAAGGAGAAAAAACCAAGGAACAGAAACCAGCAAGCTGAGGAACTGAAACACTGGATAATTGTAGCATTCATAACAGTATAGAGAATGTTCTCATACACACTTTTAAAATAATATATCAAGAACACATGCTGTAATGCAGAACAGTAATTTAATTTTAAGTGTTTTCAGTGACAACTTCATCATGTAACAACAGCAATAAAGTTTGTGTGACTGGCATGCCCTCCTGATAGCTGTAATACAGGCATTCTTATATGGACAAAGTGTCACTGCTGAAACATGCAATCAGCAAGTAAAACTCAACCAACTACTCTGAATTAAGAAAAGCACACAGGTCAGAAATGCAAACGTGAGCAACATGGCACGTAGTTTGCTGCAAAGAAAAGGCCCAGCCTGGAGAAAGGGGGGCAGCTCCCAGAATCCTGCTGCCAGAGATGCTGCAAAAGAAAGGAGGACTGCTGGGTGGGACAAGTTACACCTGAAGCTAAAGTGGGTGTTAGGAACTGTTATCGGATTATCTCAGATCAGATACAGACTATATTTGGAGTGGATTTTAAATATCATATTTTTCATACTGCATTCAAGAAGTAAAGGTTTCACATATGGGCTGAGAACTTAGAATCTGTTACAGAATTTCAGTAGTTTGGAAAAAGTACAGCAGAAAAACTGCACAAAAGAACACTCACTAATTTACAAATTTCTACCAGGCCTGAAACAATCTTCACCTTACCTAGGCAGATTTGCTTTAACAAACAGTATCACTAACAGAACAATTTTGTCTCTATGATATTTTTATGTATTTTACTACTGGCACATATACACCTAATTCACCCAAATGAGCTATATTGGTGAAGGTGGCATATGAAAATGTCATGCTAATCCAAGCCCATGCAGAGTAAACATCATTAGCTACCACTCAGCACCCCTGCCATCTCCTGAATGCACTATGACTTAAAATGGCAAGGTGTTATCTCCATGTATTGAAGATGAATAATTATTTCTGCATCTTTGAACAACTATGCAATATATGAAGTTCTTAATTGTCAGCATCTCCCAGTTAATGGCCACCAAAAACAGTTATGAAGTGCCCAATTAAACTAAATCATTTACCACCTTGGACAAGAGCATAGTATCAAATGGAGGTAGGACTGACAGTGTTGTGTACATGCTCAGCATAGACAGATTTTCATTTTTCAACAGAATATTATTGGAGGGAAGATAAAGTTTTTTTATAAAACTAAGCCAGCAAAGAACAAATTTTATTTGAATTAAGTTCAAACAGAAGTAGAAATTTAAGGTAGCCTGTGTTTAATTTATACCTATTCAATGACTAGCTCTCCTATCCTCTAGGACAGACCTCCATTTCAAGAGATACCTTGACAGAAACAGAATTTGGTGGGAAGTGCAGTACTAGGTATAGCTGACTTGAGTATCATTTTTAATTAATAATTAATAGGCTTATTAAATCTTCTGAAAAATCACACTGCTTTAGTGCACAGGTCTTTAGTACTTGTTCTATGCAGTGGACAGGAGTATAGTGATGACTACCACACTACAAACAGAGTAATTATGTATGACACTACCACCTCCATATGTAGGAAACAATTTTACAATTTTAGGAGGAAATACTCCACAGTAACAAAACGCCATTATCACAACACAGATTGCAGTATCACCCAAGTCCATTATTTCCTCTGCATGGAGATCCCTACCTCAATCTTTCTCACACATACAGAAGAGGAAGGGAAGGGCCTTTAGCATCTGCTTCTCCTGCCCCAGTCCAGCTGTGCTGAGCTGCTTCAGCCTGCAGACATGCACTCAGAGGAGCTGGAAGGCTCAGTGCTGACATGCTGCAATGCAGAGCAGCTCCTGCCTCTGCTGCATATCAACCTAAGTGATCAGCATACAACCGGCAGTAGAGACTTTGGAAACATTTGTTTTACAGGCAGGGATGATGACAGTGACGTTTCAGATCTCTAACCTGCATTCTCTGCAAGTGCACTCATGACAGCCAAGGAAATATTAATGAAAGTAAACCAATAAAGCTACTTCTTCACTCCAGACTAATAAAAACACGGCACTGAACCCTCATCATCTTTTTAAAATACAGTAACCATGATCATTTCTAGTCTGGTACTGCAGTGATTTTAGTGAGCATTTTAATGGATGTGAAGTGACCCATCCTTTGCAGAGCAAGCTATTTACAAGCACTTTTCTGTATGTTTTTTATCACCTGTGAGACCTGACCAGTCCCAGTACCAAAGACACAAGTCTAGCCCTGACAGCATGGCACAGTGCCTGCACTACTCAGAGAGCAAATTGCCTAAGACTGCATTCACTGCAGATGGAGATGACAGGCAAGTTGCATTACACAGCCAAAATAGTTATAACAACAAAGGTCATTTCTACCCCAGTTATGCCCCTTTTCAGCTTTGTTTTTGTTCAATAAACAGACACTTACCACCTCCAGTAGCCAAGCAAAAATCTCAATCTAATAAGAAATAATATTAATTCTCTACAAAAAAAATATGAAAGCATTAGATTTCATTCATATTGGAATACGTGATGAAAAAGTTAAATACATCAGATCACCCAAGTTTACAATAGCAAATGTTTTTTCCTGTGCTCTTCCCTGGTTTCATAAAGACACCCCAAATTCGGCAGCTTACCTGATCTTGCAGGGACATAACAGGGTTATTTTTGGTTGTATTGATATGTAGAACATGGTACTTGTTCTTTGCACAGAGGTCATAGGCAATATTCGTGAAGGATGTGCTGGCAGTCTTGGGTACTCTGTTGTAAATAATCACCACATCATCTTCCTCATCCAGTGTCACATCTTGTCGGGGACCATCGACTGTATGACGTTGCTCTATTTCTCTGACTTCATGCCTTGCAATAGCCCTTTCTGTTAAAGAAGAAAAATATAAAATTTCAATGGAAGTCTCACTAACTCTGAAGTTCAAACCTTAGAACACAATCTGGTGAAAAGCAGAACTCCTGAACAATAAAGGAAACACTAGCTGTACTATGCATTTCTGACATATCTGAACAAAACTTCATCAATAAAAATGAAGGAAAGACAGTCCAACACAGAACACAAAGCCTAGAAAACAGTATGCTTAGGGAACACAGACCATACTCTGTGACTCACACTGATGTCACTGTCTTCGGAGTCATCATTTCTAAAGGAAAGTCTATAACGCACTGTGAAAATGGTGACATCCCTGAAATATCACACATAATTTCTACAATACCCCTAGTTAAAAATTATAATGGAAGAAGATTTTATTAATTTGAAGTTTGACAAGAATAGAAGCAAGAGGCACTTACAAAACAGGTAACAGACTCAGGTTTTTTTCTGTTCCAGATAAGTATATACTTTAGTACAATTTGCAATACAGATATCAAAGCACTTTGTCTCATTCATGTATGGTGATACTGCCTTTAATAATGTATTCAAAGAAATCTGAATTTATCAACAGTGTAAGCTGAAGTTGATATCACAAGAGTAACCTGTAATTCTCTGTATTATGTTCTTTTACAGGGTATAGCTCTTTATGGATGATATACTTTTAACAGCAGCAGCAGCTCTTGACCTTTACTTCCCTTGATTCTTTAGCCCAGCCTCCTCTATTGTCTTTCACCAAATCTCTTTAATTATAACATAAAATCATTTCTAAAGCAGAATCATCAAGCTGTGAATAGCCTACCCTGTAATTCCACGTAAATTGTCTTAAACCACAAAGTTCCATCTGTCTGAAATGCTTCAAAGCTTAAACTCACTCACTCTCTCATATGCTCATATCTCACACCCCATAACTAAGTTACATCAGTAGGAGAATGTTTGTAGGAAATGCTTATTGAGTGTATCTCAATTTTCCACATGACATCTGTTGCTCCCCACTACATCAGTCACAGTTTTTGCTCCTTCTTTTCTCATTTGCTACCTCTCCCATCAATGCTGGCAAACGTCCTATTTTGGAAGGAGATGAGGCAACAGACTCAGGTTTCATCTCTCTGAAGATGGCTACAGAAGCATGGGGCTGGCGACTCTCCCTTCCTGCCAGTAACAGATTAGAGGAAGCATTCGGTAGGGAACACAGTTAACCATGTGGCTGCCCAAGGCTACACGGATAGTGAATACCACCTAGAGAAGCTGAAATGAAACAAATTAGATTGGTATTTTCTACACCAGAGTAGTAGATCTAAGGTAGATTTAATCATAGCTGCACAGAACGCCAGGGCTGATGACGCTTATGTGTGAGAGAAACATTTGTGAGAAAGAGACATGATTTGCAAGAGGATTGATGAGAAGCATTCTCTAATGAGGTATTTTAAACCTTGATGATTCAAGAATTAGTGTGATAAGGGCACTTTAAAGACCATGCAAAAGGTATAAAAGCTGCATGATTGGATGCAATTAGCAGAAAGGCTATTGCATACAACCACCTCCAGCTTCCCATTGCAAGGGGGAAAGCAAGAACTCAGGTAAGGAGCAGAACCTTCACAAGCCTGATGTATACAGACAGTCCTATTATGAAAAAAAAGAAAAGGGAGGCTTTAAATTTCAAACTAAAACAAAAACTGGTCTTTAAGATGAAGCACTGAAATCACCTTTTTGAAATAATTGCAATAATTAAAAAATAAAATCTGAAATGAAGTGAAGGATATAAACTGCTGAAGTGTGAGAGGAAGCGCCTGGAAGTGTCTGACCTGGTCAGCCATCCTGAGGATCTATTTCATTCCAGTTTATGAGTAATACAGAAATGAAAATTGCCAATTTCATAAAAGTGCACATTTTTTCCCAATCACAAACAGTTGGCAGTTTTTCCTATGAAAAACTCTTCAGTAAGCTCTTCTGCTGCTTACTGAAAAGTCAGTTTAACTCTTAAAATGATGCATATAATTTTTTTTTATAAGGTTAGTTAATTTATTATTTGGAGAGAGGAAGAAGTCCAGTAATGGTAACACACAACTGAGAATAGTCTTTGGGATAGCTATGTAATCACAAGTTAGAGAATTTGAGGAGTTAATGTGCATTTGATTAACTACTTCATTTGTTCTTCTATAAAATTTAAATAATCTTGAAAGTAGAAGCCCTGTGATGGCTGAAAAATGAACAATACTTATATGTGTTTAGAAATATGGTAGAAAATGCAATGCTTTAAAGACATTTTACATGTGGAAGTCAGGGAGGTGCATTTACTAAATATATTGTATTTACCAAAACATCTCCTTAGATGACAGCCCTGTAAATACAACTTTGATTACAAGAACCTGTCTACATAAGGTTGGACTGGTCTCACTGAAAACAATTTTAAAAAATTCTAAAAATCAGGATGGGTGATTTCTTTCCTCTCAGAGATTCAGTGGACAAAATGTCCTACAGTCTCATTGCTTTCACTGCATTCTATTTAAACTTTGTGTTGTAGGAAAAACACTTCTGCAAAATTATTAAGAGCCAAATACTTAAACAGGGTTAAGATCATACACTCTAAATTTCACATTACATAATTAGACCCATTTTAAAAGATATGTGGCATTTAAGTAAGTGATACATTTGAGTACAAGACAGGTTTTCATAAAACTATAATACAGGATAATTTTAAGGCATAAAATATTCTGTCTCACACTTTATTACTGCTTGTTGAATTTCCCCATAATACACAATATAATTGCTATACCCTTGAGATAAACTCTGTTCTGTCATCTGCAGCTGTCCTGCACGCAAACTTCCATCAACTGCAAGGACAGTTTGCACATAGGCACTACCAATATGATCAGTGTAATAACAGTTGCTGAACTGATTATTTACCAGCAGATGAATTACTTCCAGAAAATCCTTAGTTGGCTGAAGTAGCTGCTTTGTAAACAGTAGAACAAGTTTGTTTTCTCACCCATTTGTCTACATGTTCTTCTAAACCAGCCTCCATCCTATTTCTGTAACTCAGCCTCTTGGCATGACTTACACTTCTTGAGCCATCCTCTTGTAGCAATAAACCACAAAATATCATGGCTAGCAACAAATTGGTTTGCCAGTCACATGCTACCAGAAAATAACATATAATGGGCAAGTTATATCTTCTCCTTCAGCAGAAGAACTAATAGCAACATTTCATCCCTATGCCATCACTTCAACGTCACTGCCCTTTCAAGACAAAGCAGTTTCTCAACAAGCTCAAAAGTTACTAACAAGAAACACTTGGAGAGAACTGGACAGGCCAAGGATCCCAACTAATAAAATCACTTGTGAAAATGCAGTAGACCCATAAATACTTCTAAAAATGTTTGAAAACCCAGCTGAACCATATTTACATAACTACAGAAACAAATCACCTGAATGAACAATATTTAAATAATTATAGAAACAAATTACTAGGATCATAAGCAGTTATTAGTCTACATTCCTTGCACATTCAAACAGATAAATGTCTTAGGTAAAACAAGCTTATTAGCATTTACTTCAAATCCAAGAATTAACTGCATAACTGCATACAAAATCTTCCCAAAGAAAATAGTGTGTCATGGATTCTAACAACTTAAAGATTAACAAAACCAAACATTTCAAATTCCTCACATTTTTCACAGAAGCATAAGAACCTCCTGGGATTTCTGAACAAAGAAATCTATCAAAATCAGAAATTTTTCCTCACCCTCTAACTTAGCACTTACCACTCTTCATGGAAGACACCTTTAGAGCCTTGCTGGCTGTCAAAATCAAGCTCAAGTAACTGGAAGAATAATTGAGAGCATCCAACTCTACTTTCCCAAACTATGTTCTTTGTCCTCTACATCTATTTTCCTTCTGGATGTATCTACAGATATTATTTAGGCTCTCTCTTCAATCTGTCTTATGTGCCTGCCATGCTTCATTGTGAAAGTGCCCACCCAGATAAGGAAAGACTCAGTTTAAAATAAATTTTAGCTCAGCAGCCTTCAAGTGTTGCCCAACAAAAGAAACAGATACGGATTCAAACTTCAGTCACACTGGCTTGAAGAGAAGGAACTGGACAGCTAGCCTTGATAGCACTGCTCCTGAGCAAACTGTTGCTGCACACTTACACTACTGGACACCACATTAACCCAATAAGCAGGCTTGGAGCTGGGAGCAACAGGGAAGCCAGCTGACTTGGTGTCTCAGCCTTCTCTCCACGGTGCTCCCAGGCCAATTAGGCAAGCAGCTGGTAGCCTGAGGCATGGAGCAGCTCTCAAGCTGTCTCCCTGCCCAAAAGCTTCCTTAAATGCAGGATTGGCCTAAATACTGAACCCGAGCAGGACTGCAAACCTACTCACGATGGACTCCATTCTCCTCTGATGAAGAGGGAAAACTGAATAACAGTTTAAAACTGAATCATAAATCTGTAGCAAAGCTGATGTTCGGAATAATTTTCAACACCCACCATACACACACAGCCTTCACCCATCACTGAAATGTGGTCTCCTCTGGGAGCTGCTTAGCAGCACACAACATACAAACCACAGTGCAGCTGTATGTAGATAGCAATACTTCAGGGATGGAGAGCAGAAGAGAAAGAATCAACGGTACTATGACAGTTTATGGCCATGGAGAACTTGTGTCACTATACCAAATGAAATCTGAAGGAAAAATATAGATTGAATTAATAAAAAGTGCCTAAAGGTTAAATTTGTGCAAGGCATCAGTATTAACACAGCAACTTTTTCAAAGACTTTTATAAATAAAACTAGAGCAGAATAGAGTTGTTAAGTCCTACTAAGAGCAGAACCACCATGGGTTCTCTAGAAACTTCATGAATTAAAGACCAACATGTATTTGGGGGCAAAAAAAAAATAGAAGATAGAAACAAAACTGCAATTTAATGTAATTTTTTTCAGTCACACAGCAAGAACACTGGTACCAAGCAGCAGCCCACCACCCTCAGACAG